GCCGAGCCCCATCCCGCCCCCCCTGAACCCCTTGTGCATCCCCCCAACCCCCTGTGCATCCCTTTGTGCATCCCCCCAAACCCCTTGTGCATCTCCCCCACCCCTTTGTGCACCCCCCTGTGCACTCCCAAACCGCTTGTGCATCCCCTCCGTCCCCTTGTGCATCCCCCTGTGCACCCCCCAGCCGCCTTGTGCACCCCCTTGTGCCCCCCCTCCGTGGCTTCCAAGCCTCCCCCCCTTTGCATGCAGCCCCAGGACTGCAGGAGCCGGGGCCACACACCATGGGCACCAAGCAGACCAAGGGTTGCCAGCCGGGCAGCGCTGGGGAGAGCCCCCCGGCCCACCACCGCAAGAAAGTACCCCCCAGGGAAAGGGGGGACTTCCTCGCCTCCCTCGTGGTGAAGTCCGGCGAGAAGTTTGGGAAGGGTGGTGGCAGCAGCTTGCCCCCTTACCACCGGCGGATCTGCATGATCCAGGACATGCTGGTGCTGGTGAAGCAGGGGAAGCAGGAGGAGGCCACCGAGCTGCTGAGGCACCTGCGGCAGGTGAGGATGGGCAGGTTTCTCCTGGGGGGGCTGCCTGCTTGCGGTGGGGAAAAGGTGGTCTAGGAGAAAAACACATCCCGGTTTCGAAAGCCTGCTAGCAAAGAGGGGGCACACTCGGTTTTTGCGGGTCTAACTTCCGTGGCGTAATTTTGGGGAAGTGGCTGAGGAGCTGCAGGGTGGTCATGGTGTTGGAGATGGGAAAATTACCCCGGGGAGGTGCTTTGCATTGTCTGCAGCGAGGAACCCTGCTGGGTGCATTTTTCTCCTTCCCTTCATTGCTTGCGCTGATAGCTCTGGGGTTTGCAGTGTGCACAGCCCACTCAAGGAGGTTCCCACTCAACTTTCAAAAACTTTGGTGTTTAAAGCGGATCTGTAAAAGCGCTGAGGCAATTTGAGCTAGCAGCTTTTGAGAATCGGCTCTTTTCTTCCCAGCTCAGAAATACCAACAGTTGGCAGCTTTGCTTTTTATCTTGTTCTTTTTGACGCACAATCACCTGGGGGAGTTTTGCTGGTGTTGACTCGGGCTTGTAGAAATGAGCGTGCGAGATGCTGTGCGAGTGCGGGGAATTAATTGTACGGAGCCCGAGACCTTTCCCCTTGAAAGTCTGTTTGAGCTGGGCATTAGCTGAGAAGCAACCCTACAGAAAGTTGCTGTGAGCAAACAGAAAGGCAGCTAAGGAGCACTGCTCTGTATCCAGCAAATTAGCATTTAACCTTTTCTACTGATAGGCGGTGATAAAAAGACCGAAGCGCTGGGCATTTTCAAGGCTCTGGGGTACATAGGGCTTGGAAAAACAGCAAGTTTTCCATGCAAACTGAAAACAGACCTGTCTTCAAGCTTGATTTTTCTCCCAAGGAGCTTGCAAGGCACCCAGCTGTTCGGCGTAACCAGTTCTACCACCTGGGGAAGAGTTGCTCAGACCTTCACTGGGCATGGGGAGCTGCTTTCTTGCCCCATAGATCTGCTCTGCGTCAGTCTGTCCACGTCTCATGGGTTTCTTCTTGATTTTGTTTGCATTTTTTTTCCCCATTTTCTGGTCCTGTTAACTTTTTAGCAAGTGGATGTGTTGTTCAGGGGAAGGCCCCTGACCCCTTCACGCCCCCGAGAGGCACACTTCCATTTACCCCATCAGCCAGGGTCCCTCTGCCTGGCTGGTTTATGTGACTCAGGACTATCTTTGGAGCAGTCCTGCTGAGAAATCTGAACAGTTTCATACGTGTTTGTGTTCCTTTATAGAAAGCTCTTGCAACTTACTCTCAACCTTGAGATAAAGTGCTTTTTCTGAGATGAACGTGCCCCCTCCCCGGGAGTCGGGGGTGCGACTCTTTGGGACAGCAACCTCTCTGCTTAGGATCTTTGCAGCCGTGGTGGGTCAAACACGTGGCCGGGAAAACGCTGTGGGGCAGAAGTGGCCGTGAGTTGGGCAGCAGATCCGTGCCAAAATGTTGCACCCTCTCAGCCCTACTGAAGCTTTATCGTTGCACCAGCAGCCCATTGGAGCTGGCAGAAAGGCAGGTGCTAATTTTAGAAGGTGTTTATATCAACACCCCCCCACCCCCCCCAAAAAAAAATCTTGGTGCCTGTGCCCAAGTTCTCTCTGGCTTCAGATGCTGTTTTTTCTCAGCGATGCTCTGGACCGTCCTCTCCCTCCCCGCCGGTTGGCCTGCAGGGTGCGAGGGAGCTGGGACGTGTCACAGCGGCTGCCCCAATGACAAATCTGACCGTGGGGGCATCCCGTCATCTGACTAAGGGGGGGAAAAAAAGCTAGAAATTAATTTTAAAATGCTGGGGGAAGCAAGGAACCTGTTACAGTCAGATAAGTCTTTGTGAGTGAGTGTTTCTGAAGAGCTTGCTCTGATAAAATATATCTTAGAGTGTCAAAATAGGGAACACTTTGTCCTAGATACTATAATAGACTCAAAGCACATTTTTAATGAGACGGTATTATTCCTTGCCTCTGGGTAGCAAATGTGGAATGCCCCACTGAACAAATCCTGATTGCTGTGGTTTTTGACAGGCTGACTTTAGGGAGGTGGTGTTCTGGGGATGCATCGGTGGCTGCAAGGGATGCTCAGTTCTCTCCCAAGGATCTGGGGCTGTGAGGCAGTGGGAGTCTTTGAGAGCTGAGCTCCCGCTGCGTCCTAGCCTGAAAATGCGGATTTGGGGGGAAGGATGAGCTTCCCCCTGCAGAGAGGGATGGACAGGTGAGCACGGTGGGGCGGAGACCCATAATAGCTCTTATGAGCTATTGATACGGCATCCACCGCTGAGGGGCTGAGGTTTGGTTGGTCAGTGTAGTTGCTAACGTAACATGCGATGCTGCTGCTGCTGCAAAACTGGGGTTTTCGAGCAAACCTAGTGACCTGGTGCCCAGCTCTCAGTTTTGTTTAGTCTTTTTATTTTTTGAACATCCCAGCTGTTTAGGTCACTGGGAGCCTTTCCACTGACTTCACCAAGTTCTGAAGCCAGCCCAGCATGCTAGCAAGCGGGTAGGTGACAGCATCCCCTCGGTTTGGAGGTGCTCCATCCTTTTTTTCAAGCGGGACGAGCATGTTGCCAGACCTGAGGCTGACCAGCTTTTCAGCTTTCCTTGATGTAATGTCCTGCCCGACCCACCCCCTGCAAGATGAGGTTCGGGGGGCTTCTCCTCCCGCCTGCCAGGGCCCCCACAAAAGCTGTGTTTGATAATCAGCCGAAGGGCAGGGCAGCAAAACTGTATTTTAAACGTTGTTCCGGAGCACGGTCAGGTCCACGTTGGCACCAACGTCCAGCATGGCCTTTTGCATTTCACCAAACTTACCCATCCTGCTCCCCTCCCCTGAAATGGGAGCGATGCTGTTTTCTTTACAGGCTCTCGTAAGGATTAATTAGTGTTTCCAAGAATGCTTGGAGGTTGCAAACAACTATAGAAGTGCTAAGATACAAAGCAGACTTCTTTTTGTTTAAAAAGGTAAAAAATGTGAACGGCAGACAGACTTACTTGCTTCGAGGCTGCTTCTCGGAGAGGTCTGAAGCGCTCTCCGGTGCGGAGGCAATTCGATCCCACTGCCTGCCCTCAAAATAACACTTACGTTATGGCTGCGTGCAAGGGCTGGCAGCGGCCATTAGAAAGGGTACGAGCTCCCTTTGCCCAGCCAGCCTAATTTAGCGACAGGTTCTTTAGCTAAAGATACCGGTTGCTCTTTCCTTCTGCTTTGGTAACACTGTCAGCTGCCTGGAGCCCAAACCTCACATTGCAAAATTTAAATCCCCTCCCAAAAAAGTGCTGTCCGCTGCCCTCTTTGGACGAGGTGTGTTTTCCCGTAAGCCGTCCTCGCCAATACTGCACGTAGGATGCTTTTGGCAGTTAAACGCATTGGAGGATAAGTGGAAATACACTGAAATACTTAACATTTTATTGAGGTCAGAGTTTGGGGTTGCAAGAAGCTTGCTGGTCACCTGGATGGAGCTGGTTGTCTTTCATGGAAGTAATCCTTGCGCTGAATAACTTTGAATTCTGTTTCTCTGCTATAAAGCAACTTCCTAGATTTACCTGTTGGCATCTTCTCTGCTTTCCTGCAAGGAGCTGCTATAGGGCCTCACCCCAAGAGAGGGTGAAAACTGAATTAATTAGGGGTGTCCAGCACTTGGAGTGGGACCCTGTACCCCGACCCTGCCGGCTGTCATGGGTGAGAGAATTGCGGCTCCTCTGTGCTGCTGAATTGCTGTGCCCGCTACCACCAGTTGCAGAATAGGCTAGGCTTTAATATTATCTAGTGTAACACTTTTTTTTTTTTTAGTTGGGTTTTTTTTTTTTAATGCACTCTTGAGTTTCAGTGGTTAAAGCAGCCAAGTGCTGTCAGTATATTAAATTCTGGGAGTGTCTCTCCTGCTGGGGAGAGGATTTGTAAAACAAAGCATGTTTTCCTCCTCTCCGCTGCCAAACGGATCGTTTTCCCAAGCGAAATGGTGAGGCGCTTCCCAGCACATTACGTTTCACTCAAAGAATTTGCCATTGGTTATGGCTCGATGCGGAGTTTTTGCTGGGCTGTTGCTGCTGCTCCGGCGGAGCTGGGCTGGTGGGAGAGGGGAGGAGGAGGAGGCGGCATCCACGGGCTCTGGGCATCACCTGCATGTGGCAGGAGGTGTACAACAGTTCCAGGAATTAAAAAGACAAAAAAAAAAAAAAGGGGTAAAAAAAAGGGCAAAGTATTGTAATAAAACCTCCAGGCATTGAAGGTGGCCAGAAGCCAAATGGCAAGGTCCAAGGTGCGGCAGAGCTTCATGACTTGTAAGGTGGCTTCTCTGCTCACGCCAGCCTCGCCTGGGCAGTGGCAGGGTGTGAAGGGCAGGGGAGAGGGTTCAGGGCCCCAAATGGGCAAAGACACCACGATAACTCCGATTTGCAAGAAGGGGCCGGGGGCAAATGTGCTCTGATGCCCGCTGAGCTGTGCAGACCCTGCGCCCGCAGTGCAGGCAGCCGCCTCTCTGCCGCGATCCCCATAGTCTATCCCCCAAATACATCCCTGCCGCGGGTGCAGGCGTCCCTCTGCCCCGTCCGAGGCTGACCCCTGGGTTTTGCAGCCAGCGGCTGGGGGGAGCAAGGCATGACATGTTCTGAGGTCTGTCCTGCTGGGCCGGCAGTTAAATGGGGCCGCCTGCTACTTCTGAGCAGCTGCCTGGTGCAGGGATGCTTTGTTAATTAAATGATGAGTATCTTCATTGTCAGAGGGGGCTTGGCCAGGAGGAATAGTTAAAAAAAAATTTAAAAATGGCTAATGTAGAGACTGTTCACTTCGGGCTCCTGTGGCCTTCTCCCTGCTATACCAAAGGGCTGCGTGATAAAATTAAAAAGCAATTCTTAGGGGCAGTCATTCTGCTTAATTAACATTGGTAAGTGCATTAAATGGCAGCTGATGTAGATGGAGGGCTATTTACCTCAGTCGTCCCTGTGATTTATATCACACCTGTCCCTATTTTCTTCCCCCAGTTCCCCCAGTTCCCCCAGTGCTGGTACGTT